AAAAAGTAAACAAAAAATTGGTGGACAAAAGTGCTATGTCATTTTTTACTTTTTTGAATATTTTTACACTTGCTAATTGTTGATTTCTATTGCCAAGGTAAACAAAAATTTGGTGAAAAAAATAATGATGGCCGAGTCATTATGAACATGATAGTAAAGGAAACATCAATCAAGATTCCTCATTCGTGATCAACAACGCTAAAAAAAGCTTAGTTGTTATCAATAATAATACTAAAATAAGCTCTGTGATTATTTAAGATAGAAAAAAAAAAAGAAATCTAGAAAGAAAAAACTGAATGAAGAATCAAAAAGTTTAAGATCTCGTTAGGGGTAAATGAAAAAAAAAGGGAAAGGAAAGGGAAATGACCGTTGGATTTGAATCAATTAAAAAAAAAACATAATCTCCTACTTTAGTAAGAGGCGGGGTTCTATATTTGTCTAAGATAAAGGGAAAATGAGGATAACTCGGATTGGGATCCGAATTAGTTTAAGAAACGAATCCCAATTACCAATTTTAGTTAGAGGCGGGGTTTAAGATTTGTTAGAGGTAAAAAAAAAAAAAGGGAGGATAACTAGATTTAGCTTTGAGTTAGTTCAAAAAATAAAATAAAAAAAGAACTCTAATCACTAACTTCAGTTGGAGGTAAGGGTTTAAGATCTATTAGAGGTCAAGCAAAGAAAAGGGAGAGGATAACTACATTGGACTCGAGTCGGTTTAAGGTACGGAATCACTAACTTCTATTTGAAGTAGGAAAGGAAAGGGTTCTAATAAAAAGATTGTTGGACTTGGCTTTTACGTTGAAGATAAAACTAGTTTTTCTATATAAAATGTCAAATGAAATTCATCCTTGTCTTATTTATATTAAATAAATAATTTCAATTTTTGTTTTTTTGCTAGACATTCACTAATTTTTTCAGCTTAATTGAAAATACTAGTGACAAAGACATTTCTTTTCCCGAGAGGCCAAAGCATAATTGATGGAATATGTGAAGGCCATTGGTTGTTTAGATGTTGATTAGTGTATATTTTATTGTTTAGATATAATTTGTGAAGGCTTTTGGTATTTTGCAAACAAATCAAACTTATATATATATATATATATATATATATATATATATATATATATATCATTTGACATTTGAACAAATAGTTAAATTTGAATATACTATGTTATTCTTTCTAATTGTATAAATTTGAACAAATTACCAAGTCTTTAACATTTGAAACAAATTTTAATTTAGTATTATGACATTAAAACTAAAGATTCAAGTGAAATCCACACTCCCTTTATAAAAAATTGGTGAATAATTACACTATAACAACTATATATACCCTAAATGTATGAGTAACTACATTTCTCTACATTAACCCAAACGTTGTTTACAACAAAATTTGGGTTTTTCCTACTTTTAGTCTCTATACATTTTTAATTTTTTTTATTCAAACCTTTTATGATTTTTCAATTTAATTGAAACCCTTTAGTCTTATAGATTTATTGATTCGGACCCTTCGTTATAACTTCATTGACTATTCATCCAACGTAGCACATTACCGTTAACGTTCACCAATCGTTGATCGACACGTGGCATTGTGGGTTCTAAAATAATAGTGTTTTCGTCCAAAATTAAAAAAAAAGATTTAAATATTTTTTAATTAATAAATCAATATTTATAATTAAGACATTAATTGAAAATATAAATTTACCCTTCATCCCATTATCCCAAAATCAATCGGTCTCTTCTCACCGTCTCTTTCTAAATACAGATCCTTTACTTCACTTCTTCTTCTTCTCTTTCTTCTTCTTTAATGAAACCCTAAGCTTCCTATTTCTAATTAATTTTTATTAGATTAGTGATTGAAAGAAGATTGAAGATTCTTTTCCATTTGTTAGTTGCTCGCCAATGCTCGTTAGGCCCATCGACTTTGTTTGATTGGATATTATATTTAAAAGAGAATTTTTTTTTTTGAAAACTTGCAGCGTCTCTATACTTGTTCCTATCAATCCCATTTTTTTTCTTGATTTTGATCTTTGTTTTGGGTTCTTTTTGTTCGCTTTAAGAACATCGGGGTTAGCGAAGTTGGGTTTTGCTCTTGGGTTTGGACTGTATGGGAGGAGTCCATTGATTTGCCTTTTTGGAGACGATTGTATCTTTTTGGAGATACTTTTGATAATCCAATAAAGGATTTGCAATTTTGGAATACATAAGGGAAAAATATTTATTATAAACCCAAAGTTATGAATTTTCACTACGAAAATTCCTTCTTAGTGGCCTTCCAACTCGGGATTTACTTCTATTACTTCCTTTTTAATGCTAATAAGTTCTTATAAATTGACAGGGTCGAGTGGCTATTAGTCATCTCATTGATGTGAAATCCTACACATCTTTACACATACTAGTCAATGATATGCTCCTTCCTACATCGTTATCGAACAGTAAGTATACTAGAGTGAACTCGGTCAGTGCAGTTTGAAAAGGGTGAAAGGAGAGAAATAAGAAAGGGTAAGACATGATACTCGGATGGATGTCCGTTCAAATGTCCACAATATTGGTTTTACTCTACAAAATCTGGAATGATCTCGACTCTCTTATATGTGCATGAAGATTATAACTCATGGAACTTTTGAAAATTGCCATTACCAAAGATCGAGTTTTAGTTTATGCCTTAAAAAGAAATGATTCCTTTGTACCAATTAGATGACAAGTGGATTGAAGTCCACAAAAGTACACATATGATCAAGGTTCTTCCATTTTTTACAATTTCTTTGGCGAGTGATGTTGTGTTAACTCGTTGCATTTCGCAAAGACCGATGTACGATTTGTAAGCAATAAATATTAATTTATCATTAAAAAATATTTATATATATATTTTTTAATTTTGAACGAAAAACTCGTTATTTGAAACCTACAACGTCACATGTCGATCAATGATTGGTAAATGTTAACAATAACGTGCCATGTTAGATGAATAGTTAATGAAGTTATAACGAAGGGTCTTAATCAATAAATTTATAAGACTAGAAGGTTTTAATCAAACTGAAAAATCATAAAAGGTCTCGATTAAAAAAATTAAAACCGTACGGGGACCAAATGTAGGATAAACCTAACAAAATTTTAAGAGAAATTATGAATAACTATATCCGACTTCACATCCCTAGCTAATCATATATCAATAAAATAGCAATAAACATTAAGCATAACATAATTCTCAATTTGTATCTAAATAGAACTTTCTCAAACACATATTTATGGTCTTTTAATTTTTCCTTGAAACATCAACCCCTTCCAACATATAGTTTTTCTCAACTCTAAGTATTATAATTTTTATAAGTAGTTGTTCCTTCTTAGAATATCAATTTATCTTCAATTCTCGATTATCGACTTTTAATTCTATAATTTCATTAACAAATCTCTCGATTTTTTCTTATTAGCTGTCTATTTTCGATAAACAATTCTTTTTGCCTATCTCTCATTCCTAAAATCACATTCCTTACTCTATCTAATATAAATGATTTACATCATTTATAGATATCACAACCACGATATTTCCTCCTATTACTTGCATTACAAACCGAACAACATAAAACTTGACAACCGAACATAGATCACTCCATGATGTTCATCTTGAAACTCATTCTCCACACTTGCGGAATAAATGACCCCTTTCATAATCATACTCGTGTCTTTATTAGAGTGTTATAGCATATATTGGAATAATTCTTCTAGTTCTTAACTCATTGGACAAACTTGAAGAATCCATTAATTTGGTGACAATTATGGAGGGACAATGTCAAAGAAAAAAAGTAAAATAAACAAATTATAAAAAAATCACAATATAGAGAGATCACCGACTTAAATAAATAAATAAAAAATACAAACTTACTTAATTAAATCGCATAAAGACGTACGAATCTTTTCTCTCTCTCTCTTTTTAATTTAAGATAGTTGGCTTTCCTTTAACTTTATAAAGCTAAACAAAGAGAAAAAGTGAGAGAAATTGAGGAGAACTAAGAAGAGAGAGGACTAAATTAATGACAATCGAGTTTGGTTAAAATGGCGAACAATGAGAGAAAACAAGGAGAAGAGATGAAATTATGAAGAATGAGAGGGAAGAAAAAAATGACTAAGAATAGAGGGTTGAATGACAAAGAAACAAAGAATAAAGGGCTTAGTGTTGTTTATTAGATCCACCATAATTGAAGAGAGCAATAAAATTGGGGTTAGGTTAGGGAGCAATTGAATTTGATTTGGGGATTTCGAAGTATTTATATGGGGGGCTTTTTGGGTTTTTTTTTTCATTTTTTAAAATTTATTTTCTTAATTTTGAAAATTAAAAAATTAAACTCGCCACATATCAATATCATATGCCTCTATCGTTGAGATTTCACGTCATTACTTGAAATGTTAGATAACGAGATGAACATAAGATGCAAGGCAAACGTTAAGGATGACATTAAGATGAAATTTAATAAAGGAGCACGATTAAGATGAAAACAAGAATAATTAGACTCTTTAAACTGCTAACAAAAAAAAGATTAAATTATAAATAGATTTTGAACTATAAAAACTAATTAATTAATTTTTATAACTGTATGTATTTATTTATTTTAAAAAATTAAAAGAATAATTTATAATTTACTCCTTTCTGTGTCAATCTCAGTAAAAGAAGAAAGAGTGTGACAAAATAGAATATTTAATACAAACTACTTTGTCATTTTACAAATGAAAAATGAAAGTAAATAGAATTAGAGAGCGTAGGTATGATACCGAGAATTGCTTGTATCATCTCCTTAATTGGGACCCACCCTCGTACCTTGTACTTCCCTTTTTATCTGAACATCTGTAGGACTATTGTAGTATATAATCTCAGCTCTTATCAATCCAAACCCCACCCCTTCAAGCATTGCGCTTAGCAATATTATTTGCAAGGCGTAAACCACGAATTCTCTACCAAGTACATTACTTGCCATTTCTTTCTTCTAGATCCAGTCCCTGTAATTATGCCAAGTACTAGAACAAACCGAGCCCGGGCTGTGTGGCTACGGTGCCTAGCATCGGCGTTCAGGACTGCCCTGGCATGTACCATGGTGGGTTGCACCACCCTCTATGGTCCAGCTTCTCTCAAACGCCATATAACCTTCCCTGCGTTCTCTTATGTGACTGTAATACTCATAGTCACTGATGCAACCTTAGGTGACACTATTCATGGTTGCTGGCTAGCACTCTACGCCACGGTCCAGAGCGTGGGGCCGGCTCTGCTGGGCCTTTGGCTGATTGGTCCAGCTCGGTTTACTAGTGGCACCATATCCTTAGCAGTGGCTCTGGGGGCATTTGTGGTGGTTTTTCCTGAGGGGACTCATTTGGTAGCAAAGCGAATTGCATTGGGTCAGATTGTTATCGTGTACGTCATAGCTTTTATCAATGGTGTGCAGACTGAGCCTATTATGCATCCTTTGCATGTAGCGGCTAGTACTGCTATGGGAGTCGTTGCTTGTGTTCTTGCCTTGCTGTTACCATATCCAAGACTGGCTTGTTGGGAGGTAAGTTATAATTATATTTAATTCTCTTCCTGCATAAATATGCATTATAATTAATCAATGAATTAATTTGCACGAGTTTTTTTTTAAAATTTTTGCGATGAGTGGAAATTAATCCTGTAAAAATTGCATTGCAGCTGAAACAGAATTGTGAAAGGCTAGCTGAAAATGTTTCTGAGAGGCTGAACCTCTATGTAAAAGCTTTCTGTGCACAAGACAATGCATTGGCGTTGAAATCTATCTCTGAAGCCAAGCCAATGACTGCTGCTGGAGCCAAACTTCTCCAGAGTATCAAACGCTACCAGGTAATCAGCAACTTTGTAGCATTTTACAACACTATATATTGATTCAGTTTGGCGTCTGATACTGGTAGCAGGCTAGATTTTAGTTACAGTATTGCTCACGAGTTGCATATAACTAACTCGCATGCATGCACCATTTCATTTCTGGATTGTGTACAGGAAAGCGTGAAATGGGAGAGACTTCCATTGAAATTTTTGAGAAACTTTTACTCGAATCCGGGACAGAGATTGCAAGAGCTCGAGATACCATTAAGAGGGATGGAAATGGCTTTAACCAGTACTACCACTAAACTACATGTAAGAATGCTCGATAGAGAGACCAAACAAGGTCTAGTACAACTGAAGGAGCATGTTAACCAAACCCTAAAACAGATCAAGAATTTTTTGCCTAGAGATTCTTTAACTGTTTCAGAATCAAATGCTGAAAATATAGTCGAGTCCCTCCGAACAGTTCAGACAATCTCAACAAACCACCAAGATTTGCCCTCTTTTTTCTTCTTATTTTGCATGAAACTCCTTCACTCCAAATCACTGGCGAAACCAATTGCTCCCAAACAACAAAAAGGATCGAGCACTTCATGTACGCAAAATGGTTTCTTCAAGAGCACGTGGATGAGCAACTGGTCCACAATTGTAAACAGCAAAAGGCTTATGCCAGCATTCAAATGCTCTCTCTCCTTGGGTCTCGCTGTCCTGTTCGGTTTGATATATAGCAAGAAAGATGGTTATTGGTCAGGCCTCCCAGTAGCCATTAGCTTAGCTGCTGCAAGGGAGGCAACATTCAAAGTTGCTAATGTTAAAGCACAGGGGACAGTATTAGGGACTGTATATGGAGTATTTTGCTGCTTTGTGTTTGAAAGATACTTGCCAATAAGGTTTATATCTCTCCTTCCTTGGTTCGTTGTTTCCAGTTTTCTGAGGCACAGCCAGATGTATGGCCAGGCAGGTGGAATTTCTGCTGAGATTGGAGCTATACTAGTATTGGGCAGGAAAATTTTTGGCCCACCAAGCGACTTTGCTATAGCAAGAATTGTGGAAACCTTTATTGGATTATCTTGTTCAATTTTGGTAGATCTTCTCTTGCAACCAACTAGAGCTTCTTCTCTAACTAAAGTTCAACTTTCTAAATGTTTCGGGACATTGTCTGCTTGCATTGACTCAATAAGCCTTGCAGCCAACAAAAACAACTTGGTAGAGAGCCAGAGGAGACTGAAATTGGATGTCAGCGAACTAGCGAAGTTCATTGGAGAAGCTGAGGTGGAGCCCAACTTCTGGTTTTTGCCTTTTCATAGTGCTTGCTATTGCAAGATCTTGGGGTCTTTGTCAAAGTTGGTGGATCTCTTGCTGTTTAGTGCTGATATAGTGGGACTCCTTGAACATGAATCACATAAATTTGGAGCTTCCTGGAAGGAGTGCGTAAATAAGCTAGATAGTGATCTTCAACTTTTCAAGGAAATGGCTGGTTCCTTGGTTAAATGTTTAGAGGATGTCACATTGTTGAAATCCCTAACATTTCTTGAAAAGGAACTTGAAAACAAAAACATTTCTTATGATCTTGAATTGGGAAAATCTTCAAACAGGAACATTTTTAAAGTTTCCGGTGTAGATGAAGATAAGATAGATAACATCATCAGTTCTTATCTCCAACATTCAAAAGAAATTGTAGACAAGTTTCGGGCAGCTGATCATGAAGGGGAAAGGGAACTGAAGAGCCAGGTGGTCTTATGCTTGAGTGCTCTAGGTTTTTGCATGAGCAATTTAATAAAAGAGACCGAAGAGATTGAGAGGGGAATCCAGGAACTTCTTCAATGGGAAAACCCTTCAAAACATATAAATTTGTACGAAATTTCATGTAAAATCCGCTCTCTATACAATTGAACAATATTGTACGAATTTATAATTTTAATGCAGAAGGCCGATACTTTAATTACATGTTTATAATATTTTTGAAAAACAAATCTCTAAAATCGAACAACTTGCCAAGGGAAAGTTGTGCTGCACTCAAAAAGAAAAATCACCCCGTCCAGAAAATTATTAACCCAGTACAATTTAATGCCTCGAACAAAAACTAATGTTGCTTAGTATGAGTATTAAACAAGAAAGAAAAAAGAACTATCTTCTGTTGTATCTGGTTGGTGCAGTGTTTCATTATTGTTATCAAGGAGCTATCATTCATCGGAGTCTGCAGCCCATTTCAACTTTTCGTAAATTTTAAGGCTTTGAATTTTATTTTATTTTTTGTTCTTTTTTGGGGGTTGGGAGGATGGTGACGTGAATATCAAGGATCAAATTATTTTATTTTATTTGCGATTTTATATTTGATGGAAGAAGTCTCGACGTACGTTTTGGACAGTTATTATTGTAGTATCATAAATATCAGTCTCTGATTTCTCAGCTTTTGTAAATCACAAGGCTTAGAGAAAAGGAGTGAATTCGAGATTCTGGTTTATTTTGTCCTCTCATCTGATTACCTCAGGTTCATTTCATGTTCGATTTGTTCTGCAAAAATTGTTGATCAAAATTTGATATGCAATGCTTCGATTGGATTGGACTGGCGTGTAGGTACTATTTGGGAGAGGCCTGATCAATGGCATCGAATGGAGACCATCAAAACACGGCAAAGCCACCTCCAACTCCATCTCCATTGGGCAATTCCAAATTTTCTGAGGTAATTCTCACTATTCCTTTTCTTTCATGCCCATCGGGTAGACATTCACAATTCTTTAAAATGCAATGCCGGTAAACTGCTTTGCATGTATTAAATATTTTAAATATCTATAGTGGAGTTTTTTTTTTTTTTTTATTGCATCTTTTCAGGGCTTTATACTATGTTTTTGTTTGAATTGATTGATGCCTTTTGGTTCAAGAAAAAGACTTGCTATGTATAGAGAGACAGATTAATTATACATGTGAGTGGTGGTCCTACTTCTAAAACATGTGGTGCAACATAAAGAAAATTTAATTTTGGTGGTTGTAATAACTACTTGTTATTTAAATATAGATCGTTTGTTTGATACTGAAAGCACTCAAAAATTTACAAACACACACACACATATTTTGATGTATTAAAAATGAAATAATTTGTTGTAATAAATTAAATATAATAACTTTTATATGTAATATTTATGTTATTATTATTTTGATTCATTGATATAGATTTATTTCAATTCATATGAAAACATTTAATATTTATTTTTTAGCCTATATATAAGGTTTGTTTAGGAAATAGATTCATTTGGAATTTTTTTCTAAGATTTATCTAAAATGTTGGTTTTCTAGTTGGTTACTTACGCAATGCTGCTTGGTAGAATAGAATAATATCATTCTAATTTGATAGTTTATGATATATTACAGTTCTATTGAAATATATTGAATCAAATATTGAAATTAAAAAAAAAGTATATTTTTTAAACAAAATTTTGTATTTAAATAATTGTTTCTTATGTTGTATATAAATTTTATACTTGAAAATACATTATTTATTCTTATTTATGCATCGATTCTTGAATAAAAATTATAATAATCTAAATTGAAATTTTATGTTATTATTATCTTGATTCATTGATACGGATTTACTTCGATGCATATGAAAATATTTATTATTTATTAACAATGTACACGAGGCTTGTTTAGGAAATAGATTCAATGGGAGTTTTTTTAAAAAAAGATTATAAAAAATATTGGTTTTCTAGTTGGTTAATTACCGAACGTTACGGATAGAATATATTAAAAAATCATTCTAATTTGAAAGTTTATGATATGTTATGGGTCTATTAAAATATATCGAATCAAAGATTGAAAAAAATTATGTATTTAAATAATTCTTTCCTATGTTTTATATAAATTTTATACTCAAAAATATATTATTTGTTCTTCTTTATGCATTGATTCTTAAATAAAAATTATAATAATGTAAAGTGAAATTTTAATTCAAAATTCAAGAAAATGCATTAAAAATATATGAATTTGTATGAAAATTAATAGACCATTTAAAAAATTAAAAATAAATTACATAAAGCTACATAAAGATTTTAAAATATATATTTAAAATTTTCAAAAAAAATCTTTAATATAAATAAATTAATTTAAAAAAAATTAGGTTCGGGCTAAAGCCCGGTCATAAGCCCCGAATCAACGAGAAAAAAAAAAAGAAGAAGAAGAGAGAGATAGCCACGGTAATTTACGGAGAAATCTATTTCATCGAAAAAATTATCGGAAAGTCGGGTTTTATAATTTTTTGCCCTTTGGAACCAAATTTAAACTCATTTTTGTCCAAATATACCTTAAAATCATATAAATAACAGCAATAAATTCATTTAGAATCTCAAAAATCATTTTAATACACAAAAAAAAACCAACTCAAAATATTTCGAACTTCCGATCTATTTTTTTTTATTATTATTTCATGACTTGTGAACACCACAAACAAATTCTACTCTTTAATACAAACAAAATGATGACGATTTCGATAGTCGAGGTGACCGGAATCGGTCTCGCAGTCCTCCCTCCTCCAAGCTATCAAGAATAAAAATACAATATAAATAAAGTTCATGATCGAAATGAAAATGTCAGAAAAAATAAGGGACAAGAACAAAAGTGTAATTTTCTTTTTCCATTTCCACCACCAAATAGGCTTATCTCACTTGGAAAACGGTGATAATTGCATAGAGGGTTAAAAAGACTATAGATTCTCTTTATTGAATTAACAGCTGCTGATCTAGAAGGTCATTGAGATCTTACATTGCCATTTCTTTCTTTCAAGTTTTTGGTGGTGATTTAACTTCTTGCTTTCCAGCTTTAATAAAACAGTCCTTTTTCCATGTGTTCTTATTTTATCTTATTATGGCTTTCAAATAGCAACTCTCATTTATCTACTGCTTAGGGAGAAAAAAAAAGAAGTTTATTTTGTTGCTCAACTAAATTTCTTACTTGCGCCATAATGTCTGCCCTTATTGCTGTCAATTTTTATATTGTGGTTGATTAATATACTCTTGTGAATGACTTGCAATTGCAATCCAATGTTCTTTCTTAAGTCTTAATTCGTTGCATTATTGATGGCAGTCCAATATGAGAATTTTGGTTACTGGAGGAGCTGGATTCATTGGATCTCAGTTGGTAGACAAACTAATGGAAAATGAGAAAAAAGAAGTCAACATGTTCACTTATCTCAGTTAGTATCCAATGATTTATGCGTTTGGTACATCACGCTCAGGTTATTGTTACTGATAACAATTTTACTGGATCTAAAGACAACATTAGGAAATAGATTGTTCGTCCAAGATTCGAGCTTATTCGTCATGGTATGTTCTTGTCTTTCAGTTTTTAATTTTAGTAATTGATTTCAAATTTTTCCTTCCTCATACAAGATGCAATGTAGGTGTACTATTAACTTCCATTATTTATAGCTCTTTTGATTGAAGTTGTGGTTCCTATCTGAGTTCAAAAATTCCATAACTAGTTGATGGCTTTTTATGAGATAGAATCATGGTATCACCCTAGCAACTAATCATGAGAGGCTTGATGTCAAGGTTGATTTTCAAATGAGATTTGAATATTCATTTATCCATCTTGTTTTGACGGTAGGGCCTGATGCCAAGTGCATGTTAAACAAAAGGTCAGGAAGCAGGTTCCTTGGATCAGGACTCCTGCAATAGTAATGCCTTTATGTTTTTGTCTAAAGTGGTTGTGTTGTAGGGATTGCAATTTGCCCCGCCCCATCATTATCTCGTCCCATTTAGGACAGGGATGGTAGTTAAAATTTTGTCCTCAATAGGAATAAGAATGGAGTAAATTCTTTTGGGGGGGGGGGAGCGGAGATGGTAATCAAAATTTCGCTTCAAACCGGACATGGGACAGGAATGGAGCAAATATTTTTGGGGCGGGGACGGGGATGGGCAGGGTTATCCCATCCCCGTCCCTGGCCGCTCCGCCCCACTGCCATCCCTATCATTCTAGACTCTTGCAATTGTCCTGCCTTTATTTTTGTGCCTTACGTGGTTGGTCTTATATGACAAACTTAGTGCCTCCTTATTATAAGTGCATTACTTCTTCTACCACCACGATAATGGCATATAACTGCACTCTGAAAAAATAAGTGGGATAAAAGAAAATAATGATTAACTATAATTAGAAAAAAGAATACTCCATATGTTATATCAAAGCCATGAGCTTTTTGATTAAGCATTCATGCGAGTTTTTGAGGAGTTTGGCATACTATAATCAAATGTATTTTTTGTTGCCTTTATTTCTCTAACCACCCCCCCCCTCCCCCCAATATCCGGGCGTTAATGTAGATCACGTGTTTCTGTTTGTTCTTCCTATATGCCACGGAGCCATTGTTAATTGAGGTCGATCAGATTTATCATCTGCATGTCCTGCTTCTCCCATTTTTTATAAATACAGTCCTGTAAAGGTGTGTATATATGCTATATTGATGCTACTTCACCATATATTTTCCATGTATTTTTTTTTTTTTTTATAAATGCTTGTTACTTGATCTCTGCTAATTGCACATCAAGTCTCTGATATCTCAACATGATAATTTGATTTTCTACTCTAGTCCTTGTACACCATTTCATTTTTTTTTTTTCTTGTTTTAGGAGGGCATCCACCATCCTCTCTCTGGCATTTGTAAATTTTTCTTGTGGTGAAACCATGGTCGATCAATTAGTACTTGTTTACACCCTCCTTAATTTTGTATCCAATAACCATTTCCCAGTGCCATGATTAAGCAATGATAAATGACCAACCATTAACAAGCAGTTAGATTTTAGTCATTTGACTGTCAGAAGTTTGGATGAATTTCTTAGTGACCCCTGACCCCTGTTGTCGCTAGCTTGGTTTTTTCAGCCTCAGGAGGTAGAATAGGCAACGGTATGAGCCATGGTTCTTCTTCACATAAAACATGTCTCTCATACATGTCACCAATTTAGACATTATAAATTTGCTTATGCATAGGAATATATAGTGAACCTCGGGACGTTTTAACTTGGAAGCATGTGATAACTAGTAGACAATAAAAACAAATGTGATTGGGACAATGAACATGCTGGGTCTTGCCCAGCGAGTTGGAGCAAGGTAACGGGATCGTATTTTGTATTATTATTTTTAGAACTATCAAGGAATGGATTGACTCATTTATGACAATCGAAGAGCAGAATTTTGCTTACATCTACTTCAGAGGTATATGGTGATCCTCTTGTGCACCCTCAAAGGGCAATGTCAATCCAGTTGGTATGTTCAGTCATTGATCCAAACCAATTATACTCTCATTTTCACTGTTCTAATAAGATAGTAGCTAGTTTCTTTGAACTTACTCCTTGTTGATGGGCTTGCTTAAAATGTGATATCCAGTGGGACTAATAAACTCTCAAGTATTTGCTTAAAATGTCAACATTGGAAACCCACATATCCATGTGCCTACATAGAAAAGCTTGGACTTGTCATTGGATAACTTGAACATACTTTCTCATGTGATGTCCAATATTTGGGGTTACTGAAGTCTTGAGTACTTGCTCAAAATATAACAGGTTGATGGCCTCATTCGCCTCATGGAAGGGGAGCACACTGGGCCAATCAACATTGGAAACCCAGGCATCTACGTGTCTGCATAGAAAAGTTTGGACTCTGTCACCAGATCCTAATATTATGTACGTATTTCATATTATTTACCTTGGCGTTCTTTCTATACATTTCTAGGAGAATTTACCATGATTTAGCTTGCTAAGACAGTGAAGGAGGTTAGTTTCCAACAGTGGCTCCCCCTTTTTTCTCCTCCCTTCCAAAATATCTAAAATGTGTGGCTAAGAAAGCCAAATATTCAGTGCAAATGCGCTCGTCACAGTTGGAAAACATTTTTGTGGAAAGAATATGGTGGTTGATTATTGATAGACGTTAAGCTTTTCTATTTCTAGCTTATTAATCCTGATGTGAAGATAAATATGGTGGAGAACACTCCTGATGATCCACGACAGAGGAAACCTTACAATACAAAGGCAAAGGAATTGTTGGGATGGGAACCAGAAGTTAAGTTACGGGATGGTCTTCCCCTTCTGGAGGACGACTTTGGGCTGAGGCTTGGAGTCCCCAGAAAATAAGTGAATAACCATCACTGATGCTGAAGAGGAGTGCTATCATGTGTGAAAAGTTGATGTTTCTTTCTTCTCAGGTATGTTGTTGCATCTGCCCAAGTTCATTGTCATGTCATAGGAAATAAGCGGTGATGAGCATCGCGTTAACCCTTTTCTTATAGTTTATACAATTATTACCAATACTAAGATCCTATAAGCTTGTACAAGTTAGATATTCAAGATCATATCAATTTGAGTCATTCATTGTCGCTGCACCTCGTTGCCCTGAATTTTGATGAAATGATGATGAATAAATTTTTAATTTTTTTGTGAAATTTCACTTGGCTAATGCTATGCCTTTATTTTTTGTATGGACTATGTTGGTCTACTGGCAGAACTTTATATTTGGACAACAATTCTCTTTACATGGCACCTTTCGATGTCTTATTGTCTTGATAAGCTACTTCATTTGCGATTGTTGTCTCAGAGGATTCTTACCATCTAAGCAGTAGGTTACTAAATAGATGGGATATGGGTGCTTTATCCGAATAGGCTTCTTAATGTTGACAACTTTCATCACTTGAGCCATTACCTTAGGCCTTAAGCAAACGCGAATTGTTGAAGCTTTACCTTTACAGAGCGCAGGACAAGGGAGGTGATATCGACACTGCACCCTTGGTTAACTACGCTACCACTAACTCCATTTTTTTTTCAAATGACCAAAATATCCTTAAAATGGTGCAGGATTCCCGTGATGAAATCAGAGTAATTCACTAGAATCAACAATGCCTGTCCCCATCTTCATCTCCATTGCCGCCACCTCAACTCACGCTGCCACCATCTCGAGCCAACCATTTCCGCCACTGGTCACTAAGACCTCAACCCAACTCCCCTCAATACTCTTATTGGGATAGTCAAACAAATTACTAATTCAAATTAATCCCATTATTACTGCTCCTCACAAAACTCATTACTCATATTCAAACCTCCCTCTATATCATCCTTCATTACCCTCTAAAACTTGATTTTTTTTTGAGAGATGGGATCGTATTGTTAAAAATGGAGAACTGAGAATTGTATTTTTTTTTTAAAAAAAAAAAAACTGCAAACAGAAAAGAGGACTTTGATCGACAAATGAACAAGATTCTCTTCAACAAGCGTACGAGAAGACCAAGAATTATTAATGAAATCCCAAACATAGAATCTCAACACGGAAGGGTTCCTATAATGAGGCAAATGGGTTTCCTAAATAACACGAGAAAGTACATAATGATCCTCGAATGAAATTTATCAAACACGCAGTAGCTTTTTTTAATTTCCATGGAAAAGAATCAACCCTTCTAATGTACAAGTCTTAATCCAAATACAGAAAATTCCGAGACACACAAGACAATGGAGGCCAAAATAATGTTGAATCCCAGACTTCAATTGGGACGACTAATCAATCTATCCACCAAACTTGGTGAAAAAATTCTTACCTTCTTTAATTGATTGTTTTAAGAATGCAGATCTTGCCGTGGTGAATCGAAAGATATACTTTGATTGTTTTATGATTGGTTGGGCAGACCCATTGGTGATTGTTACAATTATTTTAAGTCGTTGGTGACTTCACTTTGATTGTTTGAGAAAAGTAAATAAAATGCTTTTGTTTAGGTTCAATTACATGAAAATAAATTACATTTAACAGATATTATGGTAACTAAATTATGGGAAAAAAACCCCCAAAAAATTGTTATAGGTATTTTCCGCTGGTGACTGTGATTCCGTGAATATTTTTTTTATTTGTTAATAAAAATTATATGGACCAATATACAAGAAAATACTAAAATCTCTTTAACAGATAAAATGATAAAATACAGTAACGAAAAAGATGATAAAATAATTTGTTATTCAAGATTAAATCTTTTATTTTTTGAAAAACCTTAATGATAATCCTTTGGAGTTAGTTAAAGCCACACTCAGCAATGGATTCTATCTGGGTAGCCACACCAAGAATGTGTTTCATATGTTAAACAGAACAAGAGAAGTGGAACTGGACAGAGCAAGTAGCTATTTTGTCTTTTGTTTGGTGCACGTTTGACTCAACTGTACAACTGTTCTATTTTATTTTCGACAATTATGAGACACAACAAAACAACACGTCATAACGACAGTAATACTCTTTGCTTTCTCATATATATATACACACAAAAATAATATTATTTTTTAATTGTATCCAAGTCATGTTACAAAAATAAATCATTTTACATTATTTTATTTATTTCTTATTTTTTTCATAAATAAAATAATCATTTTTTTATATTTATATAACTATTTGTTAAAAGTAATTAATTCCTTCTTTTTAAATATTTATTTTATTGATTAGTATATTTAATTAATAATTTATTTATTTATCATTATATGATTAAATTCATAAATAAAATTATTATTTTATATTATATTATTTAAAATTATTAATTTCTTTTAGTTTAAATTATTTTGTTTAAAAAATAAATATTTTTTTTGTTTATTTTCATAAAAATATATATATTAATAAAGTTAAAAGTCCAAATGAGTGAAGGATAATTTCAAATTTATGAAAAATGAGTACGGATAATATGATAAATTCATTATACTTATAAATCTTAATATTTCATACTTTTCATGTAATTTTTTTTAATAAAAAAACATATATTAGATACATATTTAAACCTTAAACATCTTGTATACATATTTAAACCTTTGAATCAAATACTAAGAAGTAGGTAACATGTGAAGAATTGTTTCTCTTTCATCTTTTTCTTAATAATGAAAATTGATATCACTTAGTTTTGTTATTTTTATTTCATTAAAAAAATAAAAAAAGACCAAACTCTTTATTTTATAGCTTTAACCTAAATCTTCCATCAATAAATATATCATTATTAATTTCATCTATCATAATTAATTAGATACTTATATCATAACTAATATCATGTATATTAATTAATTAATTATATTTTGAATATTATGCAACATATGAGTGACATAATTTTACATTCTAAACACATATATCACGTGAATCATAATTAATTTTACAAAAATATTTTTTTGTTTTGTTCAATGTACGCACTAAAGAGAACAATAATATACTTTATGTTGTTTCTATATTATGTGTAACAAATCAGTCCCAGTTCACAAAATTAAAATAAGAGTAAATTATAAATTAGTTCCTTGAGTTTTGTAAACAAATTAAATATTCCATCTTATTTTAAAAATTATTTCATTAGTAATTTGACCAATATTAATTATGGTTAATTTAATATTATTTTGTTCTAGAAATGTTTTATTTTCTCATAATTATTCTATTTATTTTTTATTTTTTTAAATAAAAAATTAAAATAAATTTGAAAAGAAAAAAATAATTAGATTAAAAATAGATTTTAAAACATTAATTAATTATTTTTAAACTAAAACTACTATTTAATTTATTTTTATAAGCTAGAAGGACTAATTTATATATTCGTTAAAAAAAGATAAGAAAGAAAGTAAGTAATTAAAAAAAATATATATCTGTTTAGATTGCGATCGGCAAACAACAACCACCACCAGCATACAGCCATCTGTCAAATTACAGGTTTTCCAATTGCTAACGTGGATCTCCTTGTCGTATCACATCATGACCATTAAAGTAAAAAGCAGCAGGATTAACTAATAAAAGAGCAGCAGCTTCGCTCTCAGCATTTCCTACCGTCCGTTTTTATCTATTCTAGTTTCTAGATTTCGTTAGAAATCTAAGCCTTAAAAAAGAAGGAAAAAAAGAACAACCACAATTGCAATCTAGTGGTTTCCGGAGGAGATGGGAGTGCCAAGCGACGACGCGGTTTTGATCGAGAAAGGAAAGAAGGCAGGAGAGCCTCACGTGATCACCGTTAATTGTCCCGACAAGACCGGCCTTGCCTGCGATATTTGCAATATAATTCTTGACTTTGGATTTTACATTACCAAAGGAGGTAGTTAATCTTACAAATATTTTTGTTTTCATGATACAATTATTAAAGTGGAGTGGAGTTCTGCTGATTTTTTTTTTTTTTGTGCGATTATTATAATTATTATTACGGAGCAGATGTTTCAACTGATGGGAAATGGTGCTACATAGTAGTCTGGGTGGTTCCTCGTGCACGGTCCATTATAAGATGGACTAATTTGAAGAACCGACTTTTATATGTATGTCCTTCATGGTCGGTCTCCTTTTACTGGAACCAGCAGCAGCCTGCGCAATCGAAGTCCTGTCCAGTTTACTTATTGAAGTTTGTTAGTCTCGACAGGAAAGGATTATTGCATGGTAATAAATGGAGTATTTGTGTTTATCTTTGCTTTGATTAGTGCTTACTGCTTAGGTTAATCGGAGGATGATGATGATGATTCTATTCCTAATGCAATTGGAAAATATTATTCTTGTTAGATGTTACTCAGGTTTTATGTGAGCTGGAGCTAACAATTCAGAGAGTCAAAGTTACTACAACCCCAGATGACAGAGTCTTGGACCTCTTTTTCGTAACTGATAACATGTAAGATTTTATTATTATTATTATTTCCTTTTCTTCTTCTTTCTCTTTAGAATTTATTCGAAATCCTGTCTTGGGTGGTTAACAAAAATCGTTTGTACTAGTCTACTGCAGAGTGTTTGTTGCTTATGTCAATCTCGTAGGTGTATCTTCATGATAGTAAAGTTCCGTTGTTTTTTGGTTACTCTGTTATCCTTGGGACCTATTATCTCCAATGCCTATTCATGGTTTGGTTCTTGCCACTTATTGCTGACCTAGCAATTTTTTCATGAACAAGTGACAGTGACATGATAAGAATGATGATCTATACTCGGTAAGGGAGTGAATGGTTGGTTGAGGACGTAAAACATATTGCTGGAGTCTGTTTCTTGGCGATCATGTCATTAACCCCTCCTCTTTATCTATCACGAGATCAATTGTAATTAGTCATTGTGTGCCACAATTTTGTTCCAGGGATCTACTACACACTAAGAAACGACAAGATGAGACGTGTGAGCAATTGCATGCTGCACTAGGTGAATCATGTATCAGTTGTGAACTGCAGTTGGCAGGTCCGGATTATGAATGTCTTCAGGGCATGTCTTCTCTTTCTCCTGTGATTGCAGAGGAATTATTTCATTGTGAGATATCAGATAAAGAAATCCATTCACAAGCTCTTAGCCCAGATATGACAAAATTGAGAAAGACCCAAGTAATGATAGACAATTCACTGAGCCCTGCTCATACGCTGCTTCAAGTACATTGTGTTGATCACAAGGGTCTCCTTTATGATGTTATGAGAACTTTAAAAGACTGCAATATACAGGTCTGGATTTGCATCTTCCTCCATATTTATCCAATAGATATTTAGAATTAAACTAGATTTTGTCCACTGTTAGTTCTTCAAGCTTATCAATTTGGATCCTGGCCATCATATTCTGCGAATATTTCCATCCTGACATTGACAAAACAGTATGAGTTACCTCGATTTGTTAGGTTTCCATATTTGCCACGGGTTTACCCCTTCCCCTAAATAAAGGGTCCAGCAGTAAAATTTAGAACTAGATGTGAAAAAGATGCTTGTCATTGAAATATTTATAGCTTCCCAAAAGATGGGTCACCTGGAATGCTGAACCAAATTTGTTGTGATCAAATTATTCCACGTTCTACAATAATGAAAATTGTGTTAGCGCATTGATGCAGAGAGTGATTATGTTTTCATTTTATTTGCTCATATTGTTTGCTGTTTTTCTTATCCAGCTAGCTTATGGTCGATTCTTACCGGTGACCAATGGCTATCGTGATTTGGATCTATTTATTCAGCACAAGGATGGAAAAAAGATAGTGGATACCGAGAAGCAAAGTACCTTGTGTTTCCATTTGAAGGTTGAAATGCTTCATTCATTGCGTGTGATTATAGCAGACCGAGGACCTGACACTGAACTTCTAGTTGCTAATCCAGTCGAGCTATCTGGAAAGGGAAGACCTAGAGTTTTCTATGATGTTACACTTGCTCTACAAGCGCTTGGGATCTGCATATTTTCGGTAAGAAATCATGCATCAGAAAGAAAGACTCAAAGATGCATCTTCACATTGCATCTCTATTCCACTGGCCTAGTTTTTGTAGGGGCAATTGATGCAATGCAATCATTTTACAAGTCCAATTTCGCTTAAAATTAGGGCACTAGAATGCTTTATGCAATTTACTGATCCTATTAACTTCTACCTCTGATTTGGACTGCTATTACTAACATAATAGAACAATATTATAATTGAAAGCTGACAACTTCATGTCAATAAGTGCAGATGGAATTCCGGATTCACTTATCTAATGCAAGTTTCCTGTAAGCAGTGAAATATCTCTTAACACTTTGCACTACTGGTTTTTAGGCTGAAATAGGAAGATATTCAACCTTGGATCGCGAATGGGAGGTGTACAGATTTCTACTAGCGGACGACTGCAAATTTCAGTTATCAAATATGGTGGCTAGAAATCAGATTGTAGATAGAGTTCGAAGAACACTGATGGGTTGGTGAGTTGATTCATTTTCGCCGTACTTCGATTTATTTTAGGCTGTAATATATGCAAACCATTTGTACAGTGCACACATTCCAAGTTATATTGGATGGAGACGGCTTGTATTCTCAAATCACCTTATATTTACTGGTCAAGTGATTATACGATGATCTTATTTCCTGTCTGTCGATTGTGAAACCGTTGCAGACTTTCCGTCTAAGTAGGAATATTTTTATTGCTGATCTAGTATAGTCAGATGCAAATGGAATTTCTCAAAAATCAGTCTTTATGTTTAGGGATAATATGGTCACATAGGTAATCAAAAGGTGGTAGCTTGCTGGTAAGTAAGTTTTGACTTATAAACTGGGTCTAGGATTCAATCCTTATGGTCAGGATTTCTAAAAATTTATTTTTAGAATACCACAAGTTCTACGTTAGGGAGTGCTTTTTAGTCATGCTCGGAGAGGGAACAGTCTTGTGGTGTAGGTCAGGTCCAAGGTTATATTCTTGTGGTCAACACTTTTGAGATTATGTGTTGGGAAGTGCCCTTTAACCACACCTAGGAAAAGATTAATCTTGAAGTGTCAATATATGTATGTATATGTATATGTATGTTCACAGAATAATAATTGAGGATAAAGACCATGAATCCGTTACATTCTTGAATGCCATCTTAAATTCTTCCCACTAGGCGGTTGCCTATGCTAAGCGACTAGCAAAACACAATCATTTTTTAATTAAATTTTATAATTAAATTAATTTTTTTTAATGTTTTTGACAAATTTTTTGTTTAAAAAAAAACATAATTTATTTTTCTTTATAGTTTGATTTTGAAATAAAAACTTTAATAATTTTAACAAAAATATTGATCAAGAATTAAAAAAAATTAAAAATATATTTTTTATAATATTGTATTTCAAAAAATAAAGTTATAATTAATGAACAGATTTTTACAAAAATTAACAAATGAAAAAAATATTCTTATTAATATTGATGAGAAGATTAATTTTTGAAATTATTTGCGTAATATCGCAAGCGATTGAACAAAATCATTTCAAAATGTTATAAATTTTTCATTAATTTTTTTATTTAATTATTACTATTTTTTATTATTTTTTTATAAAATTTGTGCTTAAAAAACATTATTTATTCTTCTTTATAAATGGATTCTTAAATAAAAACTTGTAATAATTTAAACTTGAAATATTAATTAAGAATTCAAAAAAAATATTTTAAAAATATATATTTTTTCAAGAATTTATCAAAAAAATAAAGTTATAATTAATGTATAGATTTGTATCAAAATTAACTGATAAAAAAATTAAATTTTATTCTTATTTAATGTTGGTTAGAAGATTATTTTTAAAAAATATGCATTTGATCTATTCATATTTATTTACAAAATAATCAATAATATTAACATAAAAATTGTATTTAAATAATTGATTGGTTCCTTTAAAAAATTATTTTAATTATTTAATTTTAAATAAATTGGTTCTATAATATTAAAAAAAATATTCATAGTAAATAATTGGTAATATGTTGAAACATATATGGTTAATTTTTAATAAAAACAATGATTCAATATTCTTTTTTTATGCGTGTTGATCATACCTAGTAAACTGAGATAAATTATCCGAAATAAATTTTTAATCTTTTAAAATACTATCATTTTAAAATTCTAAGAATTCATGATATATATTATATCATTTTTTTAAAAAAAATTATCTTTTAAAATTTTATTCTCAAATTCAAACATATAGAAAAGTAAATTATATTTATCAATAAATAAAATTTTATATAAAAAAATATTGATTGGATGAAAATTTTCATTAAAAAAATGATAGATTCAAAAAATAAAATTTAAGTAATAAAAGTAATATAAACTGAAGTATAAAGAAATTTTAAAATGTTAAAAAATAATACACACACACACATTGCATGAAAATGAAATAAAAATAAAATTTAACGATTGAAAAAAATGTTACAACATGAGAAAAAAACAAAACAAAAAAAAGTGCTAAAATTACGAAAAAAATCACATAAAAACTTACTTAAATTAACATCAAATGAATAATAATTTTAAATATATAAAAAATTTATAAACTGTAATTACTGCTCAAAAAGCTCATGCCTTTTAATTTCTTTTAACTACATGGATATCAACGCTAAACTCGCTTGTGGCTCCGTCGTTATATGTAAAGGGTTGTGAAATTTTTTCGTGATTAGTAATCTTCATACATAACCTCATGATTAAGTATATCGTTGGGTCATCCATTTGGTAGCAAACATACTTTTCTAGTGCTAAACATTATGGAACATCTTGCTCTAGATCTATGATGGCCTCGTTGTTAATAATAGTATAGATGTTCATGAAGTAGTCAAATCCACTTTTTCTAGCGCTAAAAATTATGGAATGTCTTTGGCTCTTGTCGATGCTTGGATTGCATCTCTTTACAAAGTAAATGAAGCAGAACCTGTTAGAAAACAACATTAGCAAGCTTGAGTAATTTTTTTTTTAAAGGAGTGATCAACCAATCTAAAGGAGCTAGTAGCTGAAGCAAATTGTCTTTATAATTTAAGTAAAAACATGTGGTCAGATGGATAACGAACAAAAAAAAAAAAAGTCATGATGATGTTGTAATAAGTTGTCATTGCCTTGGTTTGTCCCTCTATACTTGTAAAAGCTCATGAAGTTTGCTACAAATTCTAACAAGAAAAAGTGCTTGGTTAGAGTATAATTAATTTAGCTAATCATAGAGATATGGATAATTGAAAATGTAAGGTGTTAGTATGCAATTTGATGATCTTGTGGGCAATACTGAAAGGAAAAGTGAGATGCATGTGCTTTATGATATATGTGCCCATGTGTGAATGTGCAGCCATGACCATCAAGAAGTTCTTGATTAACTTACCTTTTATCTTAACAAACATGGCTACCTTCGTTCTAACCATTTGCTCACAAAATAACTCATCTTGTTTCCTGAATTGGTTCCTTCCAATGCATTAGTCTTAATCCCGATTCATAAAGATAAGATGTAAAATAATAGTGAAAACACCGACAAGCAACATATTGAAAAGATTAGCTTAATTGCTTACTTATGCTTCGTGCATCATCATTACTATATGTCCATCATAAAACTCTAATTTGAATTTGAATTTGGTAATCCAAATGTTTCTTCAATTTTTCTACTAAATTTTGCGAAACAATCAAGAAAATTGCTTGAATTCATAGTTTTTCATTCAAATACAAATGCGCTTAGATGAGAGTGCCTTAAAACAAAAAACAAATTGGGACACAAATTATGCTGCAAGAGAATTTGAAGCTTTTGTCTAAAAAAAAACAACCTACATAGGAAAGAGCACTGAGTAAAATGTAAGAGAGTCATATTTGCTTTATTATAAAAGAAATATTTATATTCTGATCTTTCAAATACAATTTTTATTTTATCATAACCAAACAAAATAAAAACACATAGGATGCCTTAAAAGTCCTGCAAACAACATAAGACAGCGACAACAAAACAACAAATTTTTTGGAAAAAAAAACTAAGCTTATGGCATTAACTGACTAAAGTACATGCTCAATGCTTCTATAGGAAACAAACAACTAAAAAAAGTCCATATTGTAAACAGTGACCTTAAGGAAAGTCTTGACATAACAAAGAATAGACTTGATTTAACAACTTGTCTTTTATTGCCTTTTGTTTCATCTGCTAATAATATACCAACGTATGTTGAAAAGATAAACATGCTAGATGTTAAAACCTACCTGCTGCTAAAGAGAAATGGTTGCGTTCAAGATTGGCTTTATAATATATGTGGTCCTGGGCAAAATAATATTTTAGAGACTCTTTCTTAAAACAAATAAGTATTAAACATTATTTAAATTTTATTTTTCTTGTTTTCCGAGATGCAAAATCTCTAATTAAATTTTTGCATTCAAGTTTACAAAGCAAATCTTTTTCAATTGATAATATAACCAAGTTACTTAATCTTTCTTGTGACATAGTTGAACGTAAATAAGATTTTATTAATTTTAATTTTGAAAAACTTCTTTCAAGTTGAAGCTACATTAATAGGGATAGTTAATAGTATTCTATATGCTATCCGTGCATTTGGAAAAGAATTTACCTTTTTTATAAAATTAGTACGGCAAGTGGTGTTTTCATTTTCATAGTTATAATTTCTTTTAAAACTTTTAATTCTGAAAATAAATCTAAACCATCAATATCGAAAGCATATCGTGCTTTAGAAAGTTTTCAAGATTTAAATAATTTTTTTTCAAAATATCATCATCCAATGATTTTAATTTTTCTACACTATAAAGAAAACCAAAATTATCTTCATATATTTTAAATTGTTCAAACCTATTTTGAAGAGAGGAAATCGTATGATTAACTAAATATGTAAAATAATTAATTCTAAAAGATTCTTCAATAGATAATTTCATGTCTTCATTTTCAATCTCATCAAATTGTTTCTTTCTTCTTATTGTACGCTTTTCACGAAATTTTGGTTCTTTATTCATTTGCTCTGTAATTTCCTTAGCCAAGATCATAGAAGATGTAAACTCATTTTCTCTATAGCTTTTAAAAAAAGAAATAAGACCTTTCAAGTGGTCTATTGCAAGAGCAATATCCATATCTTTAGATTGTAAATATTTACTAACCGTATTAACGAGCAAACAACATATCATACCAAATAATCATGCCTAATAGAAATTCAAAATTTTCAATCTCATATGTTGCTAAAGAAATAGCTTCACTTTTTGTTTTAGGGTCCTCATTAGTTTCTGCTAATTGATATAAAGCATCTCTTATTTGTTGAGCTTGAAATCTAATTGCTTTAACACTTTCAATATGACTTTCCCAACGTGTTTGTGATAATGACTTAAGTGTCAAATTAGAAACATGATCTCGTAAAATTTTTCATCTTTTTGTAGAAGAAGAAAATAATGAATATATACGTTGTGTCACTCCAAAAAATGTCATAGCACTAGCACATGAATTAGTCATATCACAAAGAACTAAATTAAGATTGTGACAGCCACATGGTGTATAAAATGCTCTAGAATTTATATCTAATAATCTTTTTTGTACACCTTGATGTTTACCTTTCATATTAGACCCATTATCATATCCTTGCCCTCTCACATCATTTATGTCAAGTTCAAGAGTTTTTATCTTACTTGTAAGTTTATTAAAAAGACTTTCACCGGAGGTATCATCCACTTTTAAAAAATCTATAAAATACTCTTCTATTTTTATTGAAATTGTCAAAATATCTACACATCTTAATATAAGAGACATTTGTTCTTGATGACTTGCATCCGGAGTACAATTAAGTATAACCGAAAAATATTTTGATTCTTTGATTTTTCCGATAATGGTATTTCTTATTTCTAATGCTAAAATATTTATCAACTCATTTTGTATATTATGACCAAGATAATGCATATGAATATCTCCATTTTGAATACGTCTAAGGTGTTCTTACATTATTGGGTCAAACTCAAGCAATCATTTCAATTAAACTCAAAAAATTTCCATTATTGTCCCGATAAATCTTCTCATTTGTACCACGAAATGCCAAATTATTTTTTGAAAGAGCTTTTACAACAACAATAATTCTTAATAATACATTCCTCTAATGCTCTTTCTCTTTATTTATTTTCTCTTGTAAATGCTTTTCAATTGTTTTGTTTTTAAGCAATCTCATCCGAGCATCAACCCAAATGTTCATATTAATAACATGTTCATTACTTGTCTCATGACTTTTAAGTTTGGTACTAAGATTTTTCCAATCTCCACACCCTTCATTTGCTAATTGAATATTTGATTTCAAACTAAATAATTTACAACAATAACAAAACACTGTATCTAACTCTCTTGAATATACTAGCCATTTTCTATCATGTTTTTCTCTCGTTTGGTAATTTTTGAATGTAATGAACTGTAGAAAAATGTCTAGAGTTTTTATCTCGTTGAAAAATCTAAAATTTCTCTAATTGGACCTTTCTCAACTAATAAATCAATCAGTTTTGAGTCTAAATTTTTTCATTATGCCGGATCGTAAATATTTTTAATTATTGTTGCATCTTCATCATTAATATTTTCAATTTTATTGATTGAAACATCATCTTCTAAATTTTCATCATATTCTTCATTACTTTTTGGTGAATTTGAATTGTTATCTTCAAATTTTTATTTACAATTTTCAACTATATTTTTATTTAAATCTTTATCTTGTTCTTCTAGTATTTGAGATTTAATATTAGTAACAAATCTATCAAGTGTACCTTTTTGGGATTGAATTAGTTCTTCTACCTTTCTTTTTTCTTACGTTTTTCATATCCAAATTCATACTTTCTAGTAGACATTTTATTCAAATAATAAAATTAAAATATGATTATAAAGAGAATAAGAAACTTTGACACTCGATTATATTTACTTGTCACGCCTAATCAAGTAAACCTGGAGAGAATCACCCGAGAAAATAAAAAGAAATTTGAGAAAAAATAAAATATTATATGATTTATATACATAATTTTATTTGCATAAATTAAAAAATTACCTTCATATTTTTCTCGCTAAGCTAATTAGAAAACGTTTTATAAGAGATCCTCGATTGTTTAGAGAAAGAAAGGAATATAATAAAAAAATATGGAGATCTAAAAATTGTTTCACTCACAAATATTTTTCTCGAAACTTTTCCGTAAGTAAAAGTGAAGGCTGCAGACTTTTAATTTATCTCATTCTTCTAGGGTGTAGGTTTAGGGTAAAATTTTAATTGGGGTCCTCCTTTCTATGGGGCCCTAGGCATAGGCCTTAATGGCCTATGCCTTGAGCCGACACCGGTTGTGTTAGGGAAAAATACCTAAACCATTTCCATGTTTGGCTATTGAGAATTGAAAAAGTCTTGTGCTAATCTGGTGGCACCTCAAAGAAATTTGGAACCAGAATCGAAATCCAAACGAACATGAAATCAAGTAAGATCTAGAAAAGAGTCTTTGGAAGTTTTCATGTTGAGCAGTAAATGAAACAAATGAGAATATATCACCTAAGAAGGTGGATTTTACAACAGGAGCACGAGGACAAAAGCCTTCAAACTGCTGAGATTCATATCAAGAGTAATTTTAGGAAAACAAAGAAAGCAATAATCCATGTTAATTGTTACTAAAAGACACAAAAACCAACAATAAATTATAAAAAGCAAATTTACCAAGGACAAACAAAGATGAGGATGAAAATAAAACCCAAGCCAGTCATAGTAGATGAGCATCACAGATAGTGAGACAATACAAACTAGAAAGGAAAAAAAAACAAAGTTAAAAAAAGGTAATTAATGATATTAAAACATAAGCTAAAAACACGTGAGAACAAAAAAAGGATTTTGATTGTTGTATGATCGAATGAGTAATTATTTTTTTTTAGGTTGTAGACATATGAGAAAAAGAGAAAAATATATTTTTTTTTCTATATTTGAACTGCAGACTTGTGTGAGAGAGAGGAAAAAAATTGCCTATTCAAATGAAATGAATTGAAAATTATTAGGAGATAAGATTTGATAATGTGGCAATAATATATTGGTTGCTCATATTACATTATCTCTTTTTAACCAATAAAGCTTGCAGAGAGAGAGAGAGAGAGAGAGAGAGAGAGAGAGAGAGAGAGAGAGGGGAGATAAAATCACAAAATCCAATAGTTGTGAAAGGAGAAGATGGAGGATCAATGGCTGGGAAGCAAAAACAGTAGCAATTGATGTTGGTCCACAGTAGAGTAGATCTGAGCGTGAACAAACAATAAATGAATAGTAATAAGTCCGGTTGTTTTAGTTTTGTTTTTAATGTAATGTAATTCCTAAAATTGATTTTGGAGGTTTCTGGGGTTTGTAAGAGCCTGGGCGTGGTTATCAAGAATGTGCCAGATTTAATTGGTGTGGCCATAAAAGCTTTATTAAATGTATTGCACCTCTTCATTGGTCAATATTTCATGGGGAAAGGAAAATGTGAGTTCTGTTTGGGTAGCTGGTGCATCGATACCTTTGTTTACCTAAAAGGAAAATAAGCAGCCGATGGCTGATGGAGGTGCCTAATATTGATTAGGACTTGTGTATTGCATAGAAGAAGCGGAAGCAATCTACCTGTTCTGTCGTCAATGGAAGCATACCTTTTTGTCACGAAAAAGATACTCGAGTTTTGACGTTGCCATAAACAAAAGCATTCTTAATTGCAAACAGTTACAGGTTTTTTTCCCAGAGAAATCGTGATCAAGGGTGATGGAGGAAAGAGGCTCACTTAGAAGAACATGGGAGATTCCTTAAAAAGAATTTCTGAATTTGGGATATCCAAATTCAGAAATCTTTTTTATCTTTTGCATAAATTTCTTATATTATGGATTAGTTTTCATTTTCGTTTTCACCTACCATCGCATAACTTTAGAGGTGTCTTCTTATAACTGAAGTAGGCCATTTCCAATCATGATGATGACCTGATATATATTCTATTCATCCACTACCATATTACATACCGTTATGCCGTCTCTAAACCTTTTTCACCTTCTGATTTGCTTATCCCAAAATGGCATACGTAAGAGCACGTGTAAGAAATGCAAGAATCCACTGCTCTCTCCAACCAGGCAACCACCCACAGAACACACCACGGCTCCTGCGCAGGCCTTTTCCTTTTAAAATATAAACATAAACATAAAGCTGTGTTCCTGATTCATCCTTGCTGTGGCCCATTTCCAATTCTTTACCATACCTCGCTTTTAGACGGTCAACTACAATTTAGTACTTATAATTTATATATTACATATTAACCCCTATATTAATTCATTCATAATTTGGTACTTCCGCCAATAGTGTTGCTTTTTAATTTATTTTTGATATATTTAAAGAATAGACAAAAAATGGATAAACAAGTTGAAAAGATTCAATTATTAAAGAAGGTAATTTATTTTTTAGAATAAAAATTACTAAATTGAGTACAGTTTGCAACTCATCAACATATCAAAAGACTGTAAATAGTTTTAAACATTATTCAAAAAGTTTTTATACTGAAAGGACTAACTAATAATTTTTAATAAACTACGGGGGTTAAATAAGTAACTCTATTTTATACTTCCTACGTATAATCCAAAATTGCCACAGTTACTTTCGAGGAACATTATCATAAATAAATTATTATTGTCACTTACGTGTCCGTTCTCATTAAGACCGCAACCATGACGCAGCCATTTTCTTTTTCTTTTAAAATTAAAAAGAAAGTAAAAACCGCTTTGTTCTAAATTATTGAATAGAGCTCTCAACAACAGGAGGAAGAACTTCCCGTTTAGTTTAAAAGCGAGAGAGAAGTAGAATTTGTTCGTTTGCTTGGATCAGAATTTATTTGTCAGGATAGGACAGGGAGGAAAGATTGGAGATTTTTTAATGTAATTGTATAAAAAAAAATGGAAAAGACCAGTTCAACCACGTCTGGAACTGGAAGCGCAGCTTATCTGAAGGCTCTCACTCTTGAAATCGAGAAAAAGCTGCAACGGGTTCGTTCCTTCCTTCCTTTTCTCCCACACCCATTTTCCATTCCTTTATTTTGGGTTCTTTTATTTGAGGAAATTGAATTTATGCTGATTTAAATCTTCCAAAATCAAGATTTTTTTGTTTTAAAAATAATATTTTTAATAACAAGTGCAGGCACTAGCTTCTGCTTCTCAGAGACGCAACTTGTTACAAGAATTGTTTGCTGACATCGCTTTGGAAGTTGATGATCGTGCTCGAGGTCAGTTAATCTGAATGATATTATCAGTCTGTGTTAATGCGCTGTTGTTGTTTCTCGTTGGCTATTATATTTTGCACATTTTGATTTTTCCGTAACCAATGGATTTTGTCTTGCATTGACATGGAACACAGGTATAATTTTCAGCTGGGAAGAAGATGCAATTTCTCCTGCAGAAGATGCTGCTGATGGCCGATTGTGCTTTCACAATGTGCTTGCTGATTATTATGTTAGGATACCTGAGAGTGGAAAGCAAATCCTTGATCTGATTGTCCAACTCTGGAGCCAGTCATTTGCATCACATATTTTCTCTCTTTTGTTCCATAAATGGGTATGCAGCTTGGCTCAGTTTCAGTAATGTTTGTTCTCTTTTCTATCCATGAAGAATGGCACATAGTAGTGAATACAGTTCTCGCATTGGTCTTTTGAGAACTTGATAGAAATCCATATTTTCCATGCCTGATTGCTTGTTTACTGAAACTTTTCTATCCATGAAGAATGGCACATAGTAGTGAATACAGTTCTCGCATTGGTCTTTTGAGAACTTGATATAAACCCATATTTTCCATGCCTGATTGCTTGTTGAATGGCAGCAAGGAAGCCTGTCAAGATTGCTTCCTTACTGCTGTATTCGTTGCTTATGTAGATTGTCAAATTGACCTGTTGTTTGTTGTTCCATCGTTCTAATGCAACTTATTTGAACTCTCCACTGACAAAAAAGAAAAAAAAAAGGTCTAGGCTCTGGTGGGTTGTAGTTTTGACTGTTCCAAGCTGGATGAAAATAAAGTATATAGAATTGTTTGCAGTGGCAAAGGTGGAAATGAAAAAAGGTTGAAGATGCTTTTTTAGCTACAAAGGAAAAGGAAAAAAAAGCTCGTTGCTCAATCTATGCTAGATTTCTTTACGTTTACAAAAGTTTTATTCTTAAGGTGCACAGCTGCTCTTATTAACCAATATTCTCATAAATTATGGATTTAAGAGAAATCACTATGGTCTTCTTTCCTATAGTGGACCATATTTTCACATTTGGCATGTCTTGGATCTCCAGCAGAGATTCCTAACATGTGCAAACCTGTTTTGTGGCTTCTAAGTTTAGATTAGGCCTTGTTTTATCATTTTTGCATTATAATTAGAAGGTTATTAAATTCAAGTTTGGGCTTAAATGAAATACCACTTCTGGTTTTTCACTTGTTTTGGGAAGATGTTGCGATTTGAAAAGAAAATAAGTGGTTTGAAATTTGAGCGATAATTTAGCTAAGTTTATTTCCTGAATCTGAGTTTTTGTTGAATTCGGTCAGTTGTGTTTACACTCATATGTAAATACTGGTTCTAGTTTATGTACGCCAATATGATTCAGATGTATGCGTAGTTAAGGTTATCAAATGGATTGCTTTGCATGAATATAATTTGAAAGTTTGTCTTTCATTCTTAATGTTAACTATCCAAATTTGTTTGAAACATTAAAAATCTTATGAGAAATTATAATTCTATAATCCATCAGTAGCAATCATATAACATCAAGTTGCACTCATATGTTTTCTGCAGCTTTTTGAAGCCCAACTGGATAATACTGAAGTACTTCTACGTTTCTCATCTGCTCTTGTTCAAGGTGCTACAAATGTTTTCTGGTATGGATATCAGTGATCTTAAATTGGTAGTCATTTAGTAGCTATTAGGAATCAGTGGATTTTGTTCAAGGTGGTACAAACGTTTTTCTGTTCTACATTTCTTTGTGCTAGGATTAATCCCTGATATCCTGCTGTTATTGTAACCTTTTCTCCTTGGCTTAATGTTGCATTAACAGAGTCCATCCTTGCTTCTTTTTTCCTCTCCAACCAAATTTCTGGATCTCTTGCATCCAAAATTTGGTACCACCACTGAAAATCCTTTTTTACAATGGGAACCAAAGTGTGGAAGTCTTTAATATCGTTAGTTTCTATTAAACTTTAACATATTATTGAGTGTTATCAATAAAAAGTTGCACATCTAGTTGATTACTGTATGAACATGCCATTTTGTAGAATCGTAAACTTGGATTTAACAAACAATACATCTTCCTTTTCCATGTCATTGGGATGAAGATAACTTGCTGTATATTCTATTCCCTCATTCCACGCATGCAGCAATGACTTGAACCTTTGTGGTAAAACTCTGCAGGATTGACATCCAAACAAACACAAGGCGCTTCCAGTCCCTATTTCAGGCAAGTGTCCTTCAAACAAAGTAATGTAATCCCTCCAACTGCATGTACGGGTAAAATTATGATCTCCATATGATTATTTTATTCTGCCACCTTAATTATTTCTCATTGATTTCAGTACCTCCTTGAGGAAGTTGCCTTGGAGCCTATGCGATTGAACAAAATTCCAGTGCAGGTTAAGCATTGATGTTGTCCTTTTTGATCTTGCATGGCAATTGTTTTTTAATGGATGCATGCCTTTGACTGCACTCCCAGAAATATTTAATGTGGACTTTGAAATCCTCATTTAGTTGGCATATGTAATGAAAATAAGAATGGCATTCACATTGTAAAATAATTTGTGAATCCTTCATTAAATCAGGCCCAGCGAGAACTGTTTCTTTTACTCTCAAGGTTCATGCTCTTTTACAACTCAGGTAAGCTTTACAACTTCTGCAGATTCTATCTTGAACAACAAGTTGGTTATTGTTTTCTTATATGGTCTATGCAGTTGACAAGCTTGATAGCTTCTTAAAACAATTTCCTACCTTTCCAAATGCTTTCTTGGTTGGTGGTCCAGCAGACTTCTTTGTTATTGAACTTGCAGAACAGGTATATTCCATGTTCAGTTCTTGGAGCATTTGTTTTTTGATGAGTTGGTTTACTTTTCACCTGTAGAGAATAGATTATAGGATTCATATGGTTTCCAAATTCATTTGCTTGTCAGCTTCAAAAGTTGAAGGTGGAACCCGTTCTTTTGCATTACCTTTCACACATTAAAGTTCTCCAAGGTGGTATTATTCATCTTTTCAAAAAATTTAGTGTTTAACATTAAATTGACCTGATATAGTTGCATGTTATTCTGAATAGGGTGATGTAATTAATTTCTGCAGGCATGGAATTGAGAATGACCACAAGTACGAGATTAAAGGCATGTTTGTATAGCTTCACTTCTCCTGGTGGTCCAATGTATCCCACAAGAGCTGTCCGTCATGCCGCCTGGAATGCTTTGGATTTGCTTTTCCCTGTGAGTGCTTTGTTCCATGGTTGTTACAGTCATCTACCCAGTTCGCAAATTTCATTTAGTAATGAACTGTCATGAAAGTGCATATTTGGATATTAACTATAAAATCAGTAAGTCCAATTTTTTATGCAACGTGATGTTTGTATCGAATGATACATTGCTTTAGATGATTAGGTGCATTTACAGTTTTAATGATCATGCCTGGATAATATTTAGATTTAGAAAAGAAACTTGAATTGATGCATGTTCCACATGACTAGTCGATGCCTGTCATGTCTTTGGCAATAATATTAATTGTCTGCCACAGGTCGGACGGTATCCTCGACATCTCATAAGCCTGTTTTTTCGGCTCCTATATCCATGGTGTTGGCCCTCTTCATGTTGGAACTTCATAATATCTTGCATTAAGGCGGTTTTCTATTCTCTGCTGAGGCTGTTGTTTTCTAGCTGGGATAAGCTGAGGGAGCCAAAGAACTGCTAAAGCTGACACCAAAACATCCAAGATCTTGGCTCCCCTGAAGTTTAAACTTGCAATTTCAGCTGGCAGATGTATAACATTTCATATTATTTTGTGTTGTATAAGTGCTTTCCTTTTACTTTAGTTACCCTCTCATTTTAGTCTTCGAGGGTATCGTCCATATCTTGTTATCTTTTTGAAAAACAACATATACATCAACTAAATTGGATTCTTGACACTATTCTAATTGGACAAAATTATTTGGAGTGCACGTCTCAAGTCTTTTCTCACAAACACTGGAGTCATTCTGCACGAATAGCACATGCAAATGCAACCTGACGTCTACAATTGGTCAGCAAATAACCTGATGTCTACAATTTCTGTTTAGGAAGAGCGAACTCAGCAAGTAGTGGTCTGAGTAAAGCGGGAGCATTTGATTCTTATGCTAAAACATTAACTCATCCTATCCTTGAAAAAACTGGGTCAACTCAATTTAAGCAAGCCGGGCTAGAGCATGTCTAGCGTGCCCTGTAAAAGCAAAATCTAAAACGGAAATAATAGAAATCACAAGAAACGACATTCAGTGGCTCCATAGTCTGAAAGCAACAGCAGCTTTCGAATGGAGATTCAATAGTTGTTAGATTTACCCTCGGTTGCCCGAGATAATTTGCGGCTAGGATAATGACCATCAAGGGTGAAACAACTGCATTCTCTCCTTGAATACAATATCTAAAAGTAGTCATAAACTGTCTGAATAACCAAAGTCAAAATTAATGTTAGCTGTAAGCCTGTAATGCTGCATTCCAGACCGAGCAATAGCTGAACCAAAACAAAGAGCTTTGAAGACCTCTACTAAGCAGAACCAAATAAGAACTAGTGCCCAAAGATGGCAATGCAAAATTAACACACATCAGAGTGGTTTAACCAGCCAGAACCCACTGCCATTCGAGGTGCAAACCATATTCCAAGTTCTATATCCACCTATGTTTTCAACATCATCAGGTTGAATGAAGCAGAGATGCCAGTTGTAGTCAATATAATGAGCTATGTCAGCAATCATGACACGATCAGGGAACTGGTAATTCACTGGACAGAATAGATGCAACTTACACAAGAACCTAACCATTAAAACAACAACATTAACGACAGGGCCAGCAGTAACAGTTAAAATCAATCTCTAGCTGTGGAAGAAATATGAAGAATTCTACCTCCCATATCTCCCAGATTTCATGATGAAGAGGCAACCGATAAGACACCAGAGCATCAAGTAGTTCCTACCAAAGTTCAATTCTTCACTCCTTGGAGATGGCAATTTCTTTGTCTAAAGGAGAAAAAAAAAATAGTTCCATTTCCTACCCCTACTTTTAAAATCATGAAGCTAACCAAACAAAAAGCAAGAGTACATTACATAGAGATAGCTTTCCATCAACCCACATCAAAGAACAATACATAATAAAAGCCCAAACTTCCAAAATAAAAGTTCTAACAGTTTTCCCTAACAAGAATTTGCAAAATCAATAAGACGATTTGGCTGAGACATAGAAGATAGTTCCATTGCCGCATGATCAAGCTCACAAAAGCAATGAAATAAAGATGTAGGACGGACCAACAAGACACCAGGAATGATTTCAATTTATCTGCATCGCTTCTGAATGATACTTCTCTAAATCTGCGTCAAGATCTTCAGAAGATACCTTTTCACCACGGCCCCTTCCACGTCCATGACCCCTTCCAAATCCACGGCCCCCGCTGCCACCGCCACCACGCAATCGTCCAAGTGCACCACCCCTAACTCGTCCACTGCAGAATAACCAAATGTAAACTCATGAATTAACAAGTAAGAACAATTATAATTCTTATACAGTTCTCTGGGCAAGGACACATAACAGCATGTATCAGTCTTAGTACCCAATAATAGTTGCATTAATAATAAGTTTAGGTCTTTTTTCTTTTGTTACAAAGAAAAATATGTCCGGATGATGAATGAAATTGTATTTCACTTGCATATAGACGTAGAAGTAAGAATCTTACAATTCAAGATATTAATCTCCAGAATCAACTCAAATCACACCAAACAGTAAGTATGGATGGATGAACCAGATATGGATATGAGTTGTGCGATCCAGGTACAAATTGTTTCGACTCACTGAATTACACAACTCAACCAAATTAAAAAACAATTATTTCACAAAGAGATTGTTAGAAGAGGGTCTACATGATGCAGGACATATTTGATTTTGTCCTTCAAGTGTTCATTGGTGGTTTTGAGTTAGGAAAATTGGAGGTTTAGGGTTTAGATCAAAGAAGAAAAGGATTTGAGATTTGCAAACTGAAATATGGATGAATGTGCAAGGTTGCTAGCATCACACAAGTCGGCTGTCTAGGACTCGCACCTAGAGGTAAGAAAACCTAAGCATCACAGCTAGAGATGAAGGAATCACTCCTTAAATGATAACCAAACAACTGCACTTTTATTCATAATCTCTGCTACCAAAAGACTACATGCGTATTTATAAGCTTGAAACATTCCTATCTTGATTAGATATGGACTCCAAAATAAGCGACATAAATGTTACTATTTTGGCTAGGAAAGAGAAACTAGATAAGAAATATAAATCTACCTCAGTGGATACTTTATATTTCCTAATGCAATCTCATTTGCAGGGACTTTACTGAAACTATAAATTTCACTTGCTCAGATATTCCCCCAAAGTCACAGTTAAATACTGAGGCTGCAACACTATGGTTGTACAGATCCATTTTTATGATTTCAGTCCACATGTCGTGGGTGACAACAACATGCAAACCTGATTTTTCGATAAAGTGTTTTGAGTGAAACCAATCAGAAATTAAATCCAAAACAGGACTAAAGAGAGTTCGGAAGTCCTATTTTAACTTGAAAAATTGAATTCAGTTAAGGCATTAAATGATGAATTCAATGCAAAGGGAGAGTTGACACCATTCTGATATTTTGACATAATACAGCAGGCCCCACCAACCCAAGACCTCAAAGGGAGAAAAAGCATCTACGATACACAAATGTCAGTTAGACTAACTTTTAAGTTCTGAACAACCGAAGTGCAGAAAGCCCACTACTACTAAAAGCATGCACAACCAAGATCATATGCATAAATTTTTTTTAGAAAAAAAAAGGATAAAACTTAATTGACCGGCAGATAGTCATCCTAAATAAAATTCTGAAACAATGCGGATAATGTACTGGCATTGGCCAACAAATCTCAAAATTAGACCGTGCTTTCCTATATCTGGAGATATAAATGATGGAACAAAAATGCTGAAATAAATTCAGCAGGAACAACACATAATTGCACAGCATTAGCAACCAATGACAGCATCAAAATCATAAGTTTAAAACATATTTTGCCAGAAGACAGCATACTGCAGACTCACCAAGATAGTAATACTGAACAACATAACTGACAACAGGCAATCAATAAAGAGAACTGTTACAGTATACGAGCAACAAAGACCAGAATATGAAAGAAGGCATACCGTCCAGAAACTCCATTAGAATTTCCAAAAGCAACATTAGCAGGTGGGGGTGCACGCGTAACAAAATTTGTTCCCACAATCTCTATCTTCATAAGTTTCCCATCAAGCTGAACGTTGTTGTATTTCTCAACAGCAGCCACAGCTTCAGCTGGTCGTGAGAAGACAATCTCTGCCGTTCCCTAAGAAAAAGAGGTATTCTAAACTACAGCGGGACACAAAGAATCCATCAGAAGTACGTAGGTTATGCCAAACTTGAATTAGATACCTTCGATCTGCCGCTCCTATCGTAATGGATTGAATACCTTTTCAGTTCACCCACTTCCGAAAACAATTCCTGTACGTAGTTTATCTATCTATCATTAGTAAAACAATACAGTACATCTGAACAAACAAACAACAGATCAACCTTCAACTTGATTACATAATTATAGTAATTAGTGGAAGAAATTGAAGTTGATAAAGCAATCCGGATACCGACTGTCAAAAAAAATACCTTGATGTCCTCGTTAGAGACTCCATAATCTAGATTGGAAATGTAGAGCTTGCTTCCTTCTAAAAACGAGGTCCGACCCGATTGATCCCTAAACATGTCGTGCTGCCACGTACTCTCCGGAGCCTGAGAACCACACAGAAGAAAAGGTTTTAAAAAGAAAGAAAGAAAGAAAGAAACTCATTCTTGCTAATTTTCAAAAATAAAAAATAAAACAAAGAAAAAAGAGTACCATAGCCGCGGGATAAGGAGAGGCACGATTGGCGGAGCGGTTGGGGAAGCGCCTAGCAGGACCGGTTCCTGAAGGGCGGCCTCGACCACGGCCCCGGTAGTTACCGGATCCGGATTTTTTGCTATTTTTTATGATATCGTCAAGGGACATATCCAAAGCGCTTGACATTTCCCTTACTTTTTTTTCTGACCTAAAATCAGAAAAATAAGATGAAGAAAGCAAAAGAGGAAGATATTGATTTACGAAGGAGGAGGAAGGCAGGGTTTCCTCGAAGGAAAAGAGCGCGATTCAGACATGCCCAAGGTGTTTAAGGGGTTGGAAACATCGGGGAGATGGGCGCGTGCTTTCACCCTCTTTTTGTAATGTTATGCCTCTGTTGTCCTTTGTGATATTGTTTTAGTCTTGAAAAAAATTAAAGGTGTCGTGGTGTAGTTGGTTATCACGTCAGTCTAACACACTGAAGGTCTCCGGTTCGAGTCCGGGCGACGCCATTGATTTTTTTTTTTTCGTTAAAGATGTTTAGATGAACACATCCCACTTTCCTTTTTTTTTCTTTTTTTTTGGGTTAAAAAAATGCAAATCGATTTTCTTCATAATCTAAGATCAAACCAAAAGGGAAGTCAATGTCAGTTTTCTAATAAAAAGAAACCCATAGAATTGAAACTTGAATCATAACAAGTGCTGGCTTTTAGTGAAGCGTGAATCCCAGTTGAGATTGATTTTGCTAAAATGTTTTAGCTTCTCCAATTGATTCCGTTGTTGGGGGTTTGTAGGCTGTAGCTTGTCGTGCAAAAAGGTTCGCTTCTCTTCAAAATTGCAGATAAAATTGTGATTTTAAATTTTTAAAAAAATTATATCGAGGAAAACCACTCAATCATATCAAGGCATAAACAATGTAACCCATAGAAATTTACAATAACGAAACACTACATAAATCCATGTCCTTAATATAAAACAAACAATCCTATCAGATCAATCATTAAAAAACAAAAAACAAGATTCCAGGTTCTTTATTTCATGCCTATAATTGATGTTTTTGTAGGACTTTCGTAAGTAAATGGATTCTTTAAGGGTATTAGGGGTGAGGAATTGTTGCATACTAGCAATGCTCAGAGGCTTCATTGCCTGGATGCAACTGCAGTTTTCAAATTGCAATTCAAGAGCTGTTAGATTTACCCTCTGGTGCTCAAGATAATCTGCCACAAGCATAACTACCATCAAGGGTGAAACATCTGCATTCTGAAGCAAAAGCAGGCTTTGTATCAAGACATCAACATAAAACTAGCTTCCTTCAAGGCTTCTCCTATCTAATTCACTTAAATTCTATATCTAAAAGTCGTCATAAACTGCCTGAATAACCGAAGTCAACTTTGATGTTAGCTGTAAGCCTGTAATGCTGCATTCCAGACCAAGCAGTAGCTGAACCAGAACACAGACCTTTGGAAACCTCTACAAAGAATGCAATGGCAATGCAAAGTTATCACACATCAGTGTAGTTTAACCAGCCAGCACCCGCTGCCATTCAAGCTGCAAACCATATTCCAAGTTCTATATCCACCTATGTTTTCAACATCATCAGGTTCAATGAAGCAGAGAGGCCAGTAGAAGTCACTATAATGAACTACATCAGCAGTCATGACCCTATCAGGGAACTGAGAATTCACTGGACAGAATAGATGCAACTTACACAAGAACCTAACCATTAAAACAACAACATTAACAATGGGGCCAGCAGTAACAGTTAAAAACAATCTATTGCTACGGAAGAACTATGAGGAATTCTACCTCCATTCATATCTCCCTGATTTTATGATGAAGAGGCAACTGATAGACACTAGAGCACCAAGCAGTTCCTGTGAAAGCTCGATTCTCCACTCCTTGCAGATAGCATTTTCCTTGTCCAAGAAAAACAAGATAGTAGTTCCACTTCCTACCCCTACTTATAAACTCACGAAGCTAACCAAACAAAAAGCAGGAGTACATTACATAGAGATGGCTCTCCATCAACCCACATCAAGGAATAATACATAATACAGCCCGAACTTCCACAATAAAAGTTCTAATAGTTTTCTCTAAGAAGTATCTGTGAAATCACTAAGAACACTTGGCTGAGACATATAAGATAATTCCATTGCTGCATGATCAAGCACACAAAAGCAATGAAAGAAAGATGTAGGACCGACCAACAAGACACCAGGAATGACTTCAATTTATCTGCATTGCTTCTGAATGATAGTTCTCTAAATCTGCATCGAGATCTTCAGCAGATACCTTTTCACCGCGGCCCCTTCCACGTCCACGACCCCTTGCAAATCCACGGCCGCTGCCACCACGTAGTCGTCCCAATGCACCACCCCTTCCTCGTACACTGCAGAAAAACCAAGGGGGAACCCATGAATGAACAAATTGGAACAATCAGAATTCTTATACAGTTCTCTGGGCAAGGACATGCACCAACATGTACAAGTCTTCGTAATCAGTAATAGTTGCATTAACAATAAGTTTAGATCGCTATTCCCTTTTTTTAAAAGAAACATATGTCCAGATTATGGATGAAATTGTATTTCAATCACATATAGATGTAGAAATAAGAATCTTCGTATTCATGATACAAATCTCAAGAATCAACCATCAATTCAAATCACAAAAACGGTATGAGTGGCTGGGTGAAGCAGATATGGATATGAATTGTGTGATCAGGTAGGATTTGTTTTGAATCACTAAATTACATGACTCAACCAAATTGAAAAATAAATAATGTCACAAAGAGATGTTAGAAGAGGATCTAAATGATGCAGGACATATTTGATTTTGTCCTATAAGTGTTTATTGGTGGGTTTTAGGGTTTAGATCAAAGATGAAAAGGATTTCAGATTTGTAAATTGAAATATGGATGAATGTGCAAGGTTCCTAGCATAAAAAAAGTAGCATTTCTAGGACTCAAACCACCAGGGAAGAAAACCCAATCATCACAACTAGAGATCAAGGAATCACTCAAATGATGACCAAACAGCTGCACTTTTATTCATAATCTCTGCTACCAAAAGACTAAATGCATATTTGTAAGCTTGAAACATTCGCATCCTAATCAGATTTGCACTCCCAAATAAGAGACATAAATGTTACTATTTTGGCTAGGAAAGAGAAAATTAAATGGGAAATCAAAATCTACCTTAGTGGATACTTTATATTTCCTACATATAGTCCTCATTTGCTGGAACTTTACTGAAAATATAAATATTCCTTCCTTAGATATTCCCCCGAAGTCACATTTAAATACTGAGGCTGCAACAGTATGTTTGTTACAAACTCATTTTTATGCTTTAGGTACACATGTCATGGGTGACAACAACATGCAAAACCTGATTTTTGGGTAAGTGTTTTTAGTGAAACCAGTTAGAAATTAAATCTAAAGAAAAGGGACAAATCTGAGCTCTGAAATCCTATTTAACTTGAAAATTTGTATTCAATGAAGGCATGAAATGATAGACTCAATGCAACGGAGCAGTTGACACCATTATGATATTTTGACATAGTAAAGCAGGCCCCATCAAACCCAAGACCTCAAAGAGTGAAAAAACATCTAGCATACACAAACGTCAGTCATACTAACTTTTAGTTCTAACCAATCGATGCACAGCGAAACCCGCTACTACCAAAAACATGCACAGCAACACAAGAATTCAAGATCATATGCATAATGTTAAAAAAAGAAAGCCCTCCATAGTTAAAACTTAATTGACCAGCAGATAATCATGCTATATCAAATTCTGAAAATATGAATATAATGTACTGTGATTGGTCAACAAACCTCAAAATTAGACCACACTTTTCTATAGTGAGAGAAATAAATGATGGAACAAAAATTCTAAAAGCAATTCAGTAGGAAAGAGACATAGTAAGCCAATGACATCATCAGAATCACAAGTCCACAAAATATTTTGCCAGAAGGTAACATATTCACCAAGATCATAGTAATAATGAACAACACAACTGGCAACAAGCAACAAAAAGAAAGTTAGAAAATTTAATCTTCTTCAAACCATAATTAGCAATTTACAGTAGACAAGCAACAGAGATCAGAATAGGAGGGGAGGCATACCGTCCAGAAAGTCCATTAGAATTTCCAAAAGCGGCATTGGCAGTTATAGGTGCATGAGGAGCAACAAAATTTGTTCCCACGATCTCTATCTTCATTGGTTTTCCGTCAAGCTGAACATTGTTGTATCTCTTAACAGCAGCCACAGCTTCAGCTTGTCGTGAGAAGACAACTTCTGCAGTTCCCTAAGAAAAAGAGGTATTCTAAACTACAGCAGGACACAAAGAATCCATCAGAAGTACGTAGATTATGCCAAGCTTGAGTTAGGTACCTTCGATCTGCCGCTCCTATCGTAATGGATTGAATACCTTTTCAGTTCACCCACTTCAGAAAACAATTCCTGTACATAGTTTATTTGTCTATCATTAGAAAAAACAATACAGTAAATCTAAAACGATAAGTCACTTTCAACTTACTTAGATGATTATAGTATTAAGTGGTAAAATATGAAATTGATAAGGCAGTCCAGAAAGAAAAATCACCTTGATGTCCTCGTTAGAGACTCCATAATCTAGATTGGAAATGTACAGCTTGTTTCCTTCTAAAGAGGAGGTCCGACCCGATTGATCCCTAAACATGTCGTGCTGCCACGTACTTTCTGGGGCCTGAGAAGAACACAGAAAATTAAAAAAACAAAATATTGAACTCGTTCCAGCTAATTTACAAAGAAAAAAAATACCTTAGCGGTGGGATAAGGAGCGGCACGATTGGGGCCGCGGTTGGGGAAGCGGCGCGCAGGACCCGTTCCGGAAGGGCGGCCTCGGCCTCGGCCTCGGTCACGGCCCCGGAAGTTACCGGATCCCGATTTTTTGCTATTTTTTATGATATCGTCAAGGGACATATCCAAAGCGCTTGACATTTTTCTGTTTTCTTTTAACTAGAAATCAGAAGAATTAGAGGAAGAAAACAATAAAGGAAGAAATTGATTACGAGGAGGAGGAAGAAGAAGGTAGGGTTTTCTTGAAATAAAAGAGCGTGGTTTTGAGAATGCCCATGGTGTTTAAAGCGTTGGAGGTGATAGGCGCGTGTCTTTCACGCTCTCTATTTGATAACTTTATGGTAGTTGTAGGTATCGATTATATTAATATTATTTAATTTGGAAACTACATGCATGAAGGTGTCGTGGTGTAGTTGGTTATCACGTCAGTCTAACACACTGAAGGTCTCCGGTTCGAGTCCGGGCGACGCCACTATTGAACTAGTTGATTTTTCCATTTAGCCGATACTTCATTGCACGTGTTTATTTTATTTTATTTATCTAATTTGGGTTTTTTTTATAGATCTTAGGAAACACATCGCTACTATAATTGCATCTTTAAAATCAGAGTATGCATGCAATTTGCAACCCGTCTTTTTTACTGGATATAATTGATGGTCCCCCAGAGCCTGTGCAATTGAAGCAATACTACAATATGGAATTTAAAGAAACATTTCTCATCTAAATATCCAGTTAAGTTCATACAAAATTAGTCTGCTAGAAAAAATTAATCTTTCAATTTGTGATCGACTCAAAATTAAAAATATCAAGCAAACTGAAAGTGGAGAGAGAGTCTGTGATTAAAAATCATTTATGATCGACTCAAAATTAAAAATCTCGCTAATTTCCTTTTCAATAAAAATACATCTAAATTGTCATAAAGAAATTAATCTTTCAATTTGTTGTGAAATCTCGTCTTTACTATTTTCATAACTGAAAGTGGTCTTTCTATAGTAGTTTTAGAAATTGTAGTTGTAGAAATTGGAAGGGTTAAAATAAGTCAGATTAGTCTATCAATCCAATAATAAATCTTTAGCTTTCCTATTTCAAGATCTCGCCACGCTTCAATTATAGTTGGCAGGCACGCTCTTTGATTCGAAATGGTTATGAACATCAAGAATAAACTATTATAGCTGAAAACTCAGATTGATCTTGTCATCCTCGGAAAAATCAAAAGCAGGGTGTCTTGGGTTTTAGATAATCTTGAAGATGACAGAAAGTTTTTTAGAGCAGAGAGAGAGTCTGTGAAAACTTAAGAAGATTAAGAGAAGAGAATGCATAGATGGGCTGCTTTTATAGTGGAAGGAGTTCTTGAATTCTAAAGCAAAAAATATGACTATTGGAGAGAGAAGGGTTTGTTTTATAATTGTTTGTCAAGGAATTCAATCCCAGGACTCACCTAGGGCACATACTGCAGAAATTCCTCAATTTTTTCTCTTGTGATGTGTTTTATTTTAGTAGTAGATAATTGATTTGTTATATAGCACTTTATATCCAATAAATTAGACTATTTATTGTATATTTGATTACTTTCATGAGTATAATTATTATTTAGTTCATCTATTTTGAAGTCATAGATTTAAATATTTTATATATTTTTAAAAAATAACTAATATAAAATAATTTTTATTATTTTCCAATCTAAAAATACTATCTTATTTTATTTTCATGAACGAGATATATTTAAAAAATCCAAAAAAAATGAATAATATTTCCTAATTCAAGGAAAACGAATATGGATAGTGCTCATGCTTATAAAAGTTTTGTTCTCTGAAACAGCATAAGCTCATCTCAGTGGATATAAATTTGAATAAAGAACATATGTATATATATATATTGTCTCGTGTACCAAAGTGGTCTCAATAATTCTTTTATTTTTTAATTATTTTTTTATCTCAATAACTTTTTTGCTCTTAACAAACCTCATAAAATTTTAAAAAATAACTTCTTGGTTCTTTCATTTTGTCTGATTTGCATCTAGAGTCCTTCCCTCGGTCCATAAGAACGATATTTCATTTTTCTTTTTCCAAAAATTTAACATATAATTATTTATTTCACAATTATCAACTAATCATAAATTAAAAGATCGAAAAATTTTGGTTTTTTTTTTTCAGTTTGCTTGATATTTTTAGTGTTCTAAAAATAATTTTAGATATACTTGAGATATAGGGTAAGTTTTTAAATGACCTTACTGAAAATAATTTATGATTTTGATGCACTCCAACAAACTGATTTGTACACATACAATGCAATTTTTTTATAAAAAAAAAAAACCTCTATGCAGATGATATGATGGTGCATTTTTAAGTTTATTCTCAATTTACTTTTGAATTGTTTTTAAAATACTTTTTAATGTGGAAAAAAATTGTTAATACTTAAATATTGCAAATTTTTGGAACAAATATATCATAGCTAAATTAGCGTAAAATATAAAATTGTTTAACCAATAAAGAAATTTAATCATTAAGAATTAAAAAAAAAATTGATAAATTTAATAGCTTTTTTGAGTTTCAACATTCTGTAGTGACATGACAGTCATGTTAACAATAAAATAAGATATATATATATATAAAAATAAAAAAATTGATTTTCTATGGCCTACTCGTAAAAGAAATATAAAAATATACGTGAATATACACTTATTGTTGTAAAAAAATAAAAAAATACAAGGATAAAGTAAATTACTTTCTTTCTCGTTCTGAAAAAGGGCCCAACCGGGTTCGAACCGGTGACCTCTTGATCTGCAGTCAAATGCTCTACCACTGAGCTATAGACCCATTTGACTTTTGTTCGAAATTTAATTTATTATATTTTAAAAACAGCTTAAATTTTCACTGAATTTAAAGACAACGGCTCACCTGATCAACCCATAATCTGAAGCCCACGTGGTCTGCACTCGTAAAGCAGACAAGATTTGTGGTTTTGGTGATAAATAGGTGGCGGTGATTTCAGGTGTTGAAATGGAACACGTGTGATCGATCAAATTATAGCCTTTTCTTGTTTTTTAAATTTTTCGAGGAGGAGGTTATCGTATCCTTTTCCGTTAGGCGTGGTTGCTTGATGCTGAGTCTTGGAGAAAAAAGAAAAGCTAGGGATCTGTTCGTGGCTCAAGTCATTTGGCACAGAAACCAAACTCCAGCTGGGTCTGTGATGAATCGTGTGTGCGATAGCGATGAATCGGACATGTGTGCTATCTATGGACCCATATCTGACTCGACACATTTGGATTCATCACCATCCAAGTTGGATTGGATCTAGTGAAAGATACTCTCCATCAATTTGGTGTTCGATCCAATCTAACTTTTTTTACGTTTAAAAAGAATTTTAAAAAAAAATTTGGCAGCACTTCACAATATCACATCCGCAAAATTTAGTGTAAAAAATCCTCACATGATCAATGATTTTATTTTTGAAAGTCAAATTCTAAATATTAATATTATATGATTTAAAAATATAAAATTACGTCACTAAACATCACTAATAATATGTATTAATTAATAAATTATTAGTCATCAGTGTGCTTTTATACAAAAATCATTTCAAAAATCTTTTATGTTTAAAAATCGTCATGTGCTCATTTTTTATATTATGTATTTTGAAAAGAATACATTAACTACCTAACTTATATAATATATTGCACTCTAACTACCTAACTTGTACTTTGGAAGTTACCTCCAACGAAAATAAAACAAATTTATAATTTAGTATTCTTGGGATAATAGACACCTCGTCCGTTAACAAAAAAATAGACAAAAATATTTTATTGGTAATTTTGAAAAGAATAAAGTATTTAAAAAGAAAAAATCAAAATCTATGTACTTGATTGAGGGAAAAAAAGAGTAAAATTATAATTTAGTATTTTAGGAATAATAAATACGTTATCATTTAACGAAAAAATTAACCGAATTACTTTATTAATGATTGTAAAAATATCGATATACTCAAATAAAAAAATTAAAATTCATACAGTCGATTAAAATTAAGTTAAAAATTAGTATATTTGTATTGCATTTGTCATATTTCTTGATCAAGAGATATTACATGACGTTGAGAGATATTGACATGTAAATTCTTCGTTATTATTTAATAGTATTTAGTTATCATTGTTATCATGTATTTATAGTTATAAATTAAATTTTATTTTAAAGTAAAGTTAGAAACTTAGATTGATTTTTTTTTATAGAGTTCGCAATATAATATGATTATTGATATTTATTACAAAAATCAAAAGAAAATGTTTTATGTTACACATAGAGTAAAATTTAGTTAAAAAGAAAAGATTGTATAATTAGGTTTTTTATATAGGAATTATATATGTATAAAAACAAATAAAATAAAATAAAATAAATATTTACCGAGCTTTCATGCTTAGCCCAAATAAAAAACCCTACACTTTTCAACCCTCGTCAAACTAAATGTAAATTCGATCCAATCGGATGGTTGATATCGTGTACTTAAAAGATCGAGTGAAATTGTCATCCCTAATCTCAACCTTAAATAACCAAGTTTCATGTCTATTAGAAAAAACACACAAAAGAATTTTAAAATAAAAATTTCAATCCCCTATCCGATGCACTACATGTATCTTTTCTTTTCTTTTTTTCTTTGGTTTATTGGCTTTTATTTTTTCCATCAACTTATGTTCTTTTTTTATCTAATTGGATGTTAAAATTTTGAAAAATCAATTGTTACTTTTTTTTACATAAACTTGCAACTATATGATATATACAATATATTTTAGAATAAATAAATACTACTCTTATTGTTTAACATTGATATTTTTGATTTATTGTAAAAATTCCCATCAAGTTAATTTTTATTCTTATTTTTATATTATTTTATTTATTAATAAATATGATTTATTTTTTCTATGTATGGATTAAAATAAATTTTTTTATACTTGTTTTTATTTGCTTAATTCTTATATAATCAAATTTTAAAAATAGAATATATGTATTTAATTTTCTTATTCTTTATATAATCAAATTTTATCAAAATCAATTTTATATTTTTTATTGCACTCTATTAACTTCAATATATATTTTACAATTTAATTTTTTTAAATATTTTTTGGATTTATGTTGTACATTCTCACCCATTAA